TGACAAGGGTGGCAAGATAATTCAGTGGGAGAAAGAATGGTCTTTTCAACAAATGATGCTGGTACAAATAGATATCCATGTGCAAAAGTGTGAAGTTGGATCTCTGCCTCATACCATACACGAAAATGAACTGAAAATGGATCACAGACTTAAATATAAGAGATAAAACTGTGAAACTCTTAGAAGAAAATGTAAAAATAAATCTTCATGGCCTTGAGGTAGGTTTCTTGGATATGACATCAAAAGAAGCAACAAAAGAAAAAAATGGATAAATTGGACTTCTTCAAAATAAAAACTTTTGTGCTTCAGAGAACCTTCTCTCTGATCTCTTTACCACTTTTATTTTCCCAGTGTTCTCTTTTGTCTACTTACAAGGCAGTGACAGTGCTATGTAAATAGTGCCTTGCAAATTCTCAGTAGATATTTGTTGAAAAGGGAAAAATTAAAGGTACGTGATAGGTTTTATTTTATGAAAATTTCTAGTTTTAGAGCCTCCTTCATATTGATTGCACTTTTTTTAAATATTGAAAAATTATATCCTCCTTACATGTGTTCCTGTTTCTCTTATTTTTTGTTTCATCTTGATTCTTTGGTTCTTTGCTACCTGGGCTTATATTTTTCTTTCTAATACTTCTAGTCCTTTCCTGTTTTCTGCTTTATTTCACGCTTTTTTTTTTTTTTTTTTTGGATGTGGGATCTTGCTCTGTTGCCCAGGCTGGAGTGCAGTGATACGACCTTGGCTCATTGCAACCTCTGCCTCCCAGGATCAAGCAATTCTCCTGCCTCAGCCTCCCGAGTAATTGGGATTACAGGCATGCGCCACCATGCCTGGCTAACTTTTGCATTTTTAGTAGAGATGGGGTTCCACCATGCTGGCCAGGCTGGTCTCAAACTCCTGACCTCAAGCAATCCCCCTGCCTCGACCTCTCAAAATGCTGGGATTACAGGTGTGAGCCACCACTGCCTGACCTGTTTCACACTTTTAAGTCTTTCCTACTCTTAGCAATATGTAATTGTCAGTCTTCCTTTCTTTTATCCTCTGATTGTATGTCCATACATCTCTGAGATACTTTAAAAGGTATCAAGAAAGGAAGCTATTTGAATGGTACTAGAAAGTGGTTTGCTTCTCAGAAAATACAGATAAGTGAATTGTTGTTTAGTCTATCTTCCTAATTTGGGTTCTGCACAGTTGATGAAATAGTATAAAGATTTATGTCCAACATATAGCCCATTTATTCTGTAAATGAACATTAAATGAACATAAATTTACCAAGTAAAGAAATGCAACTGCTGGCATGTTATCGTATGAAGAGAGGAAATGGAAAGATAATCAGTTGCATTGGAGATATGAGGATAGTGGGTAGTCAAAATATGAGACTTTAAAAATATCTTCGGTAATTCTTAGGACAACTGACTATAAAAGTAGAAGGAATGATTATGTAGGTTCTCATCTTTGTAAGCATTATTCTTTATGAAGTATGAGTTTAAATGAACCATTATAGTTTCTAATGTTGTTCTGACATTTAGTTTGTGTTTAGCATTTGCCTTTCCTTGTTTTGCCAAGTTTTCCAGTTTTGCCTGTATATATTTTTTTCATTTTGTACTTTGCCTCAATTTCTGAATATACCTTCTATATTCTTCCTGTAGGTTCTGCTAATGATTTATTCATTTTAATGTAACGATCTCATTTAGATATTTGCAGGATTGATGTCTTTAACTGTAATCCCTCCCTCCCTCTTCTTTTCCCCCCTCTCTCCTCCCTCTCCTTCTCATTGTCTTCCTCTCTCTTTCCTTTCCTTTTTTCCTCTTCTGGTTGGAGCCATTTTCTGCCTGCCTATAATCTTTATTTTATCTTACTTTTTCGAGACAAGGTCTCACGCTGTCATCCATGCTGGATTGCAGTGGCGTGATCAAGGCATACTGCATCCTCTACCTCCTGGATTCAAGCAATCCTTCCACCTCAGCCTTCCAAGTAGTTGGGACTATAGGTGTGTGCCATCACGCCTGGTTAATTTTTGTATTTTTTGTAGAGACAGGGTTTCACCGTGTTGGCCAGGCTGGTCTTGAACCCTTGGGCTCAAGTGGTCTGCCTGCCTCAGCCTCCCAAAGTACTGAGATTACAGGCATGAGCCACAGTGCCCTGCCATAATCTTTAGTTTGTTTGTTTGTTTTGAGACAGGGTTTCATTCTTGTTGCCCAGGCTGGAGTCCAATGGCACGATCTTGGCTCACTGCAACCTCTGCCTCCCGGGTTCCAGCAATTCTCCTGCCTCAGCCTCCCAGATAGCTGGGATTACAGGCAGGTGCCACTATGCCTGACCAATTTTGTATTTTTAGTAGAGACTGGGTTTCTCCATGTTGGTCAGGCTGGTCTCGAACTCCTGACCTCAGGTGATCCTCCTGCCTCAGCCTCCCAGAGTGCTGGGATTACGGGCGTGAGCCACCACACCCCACATAATCTTTATTTTTAATGTGCATGTAACTATTGGGTGTTCTTCAGTGCTATGATTACCTCTGCCTTCCTTTTCTTTTTCCCTCAAGATTTTTAATTGCAATTCCTAATTCCCATGCCTTTTTTTTCACCTAGTCATCCACACTTCTTAAGCAGTTACTCTTTCCCCAACATTTTATTATAAAAAATAAAAAATTTTTTTTTTTAGAGACAGAGTTTCACTTTGCTTTCCAGGCTGGTCTCAAACTCCTGGGCTCAAGCAATTTGCCTTCCTCGGCCTCACAAAGTGCTGGGATTACAGGAGTGAGCCACCATGCTTGGCCGATGATAAAAAATTTTAAACATAGCCTGAGCACGGTGGCTTTCGCCTGTAATCCTAGCACTTTGGGAGGCTGAGGCAGGTGGATCGCTTGAGCCCAGGAGTTCAAGATGAGCCTGGCCAACATGGCGAAACCTGTGTCTACCAAAAATACAAAAATTAGCCAAGTGCAATGGTGTGGGCCTGTAGTCCCAGGTACTTGGGAGACTGAGGCAGGAGAATCGCCTGAGCCTGGGAGGCAGAGGTTGCAGTGAGCCGAGATCGAACCATTGAACCATTGCTCTCCAGCCTGGGAGACAGAGTGGGAGACCCTGTCTCAAAAAACAATTTTTTTTAAACATACAGAAAAATTGAAAGAGTTGTGCTGTGAACGGTAATGTACCTACCATCTGGATTCCGTCATTTAATCTTTTGTTGTTGCAGTTTGAAGTAGCAGATCTCAGTACACTTCAACCCTAAATATTTTAGCATGCACATGATTGGCTAGAGTTTAATATTTGTATAGAGGACTTTTTTCTTTTGAGGTAAAATTTACATAGAACAATATGCAAATATTTTAAATACAACGTTTAATGATCTCTGTCTTCTGTTTCAAGTCACTTGTGTTCTACTAAGAAGACTAGCATAACTATTATAAGGCTGCACTCCCAAAACTTGGTTATTCATTTAGAGTTTTAAAAATAAACTTTGATACAAAGTTCCTTAAGAATTTCTCCTTTTTTGTTTTTATTATATACATGTGCTAGACAGCAAAATGATTATAGTTAAGGCATTTATTTTTTCCAAATTGTTCTGTACTATAGCAGAAACTCTTAGCATGGTTTAATGCTATTAGACAGTGCATGCTGGAGGAAATCAAGGATATTTTTGTTTAGTTAAAAGTATGAAATTATAAAGGCCAGGATTGCTTTTTTTTGTCAATTTCACAAGCTAAATATGAAAAACAGGTAGTTAATTCAGAATGCTTTAAATATTTATGGAGTGCTTTATAGTTTGTTAAATGCTTGGATTTTTCTTCATTCATTTGAGCCTCACATTAACCATGTTATATTGATGAAACTAATAAAGAGATGGAGGCATAGAAAGTGGGGAGGGTAACACAGCAAGTGGTAGTGCAATCAATTGAACTTGAATCTTTTCATTTTAAGTTTTGTCAAGTGGCAACAACTGCAATCACACTAAGTCTTTAGTTCAGGGACAATTCCATGTACTGAGATTTGTTTATGAATAACTACAGAATGTTTTCTTGTGCAGACTAGTGTTCACAGTAATGGCAGCTGTGATGCAAAGACATATAGGGACAATATTTTGAATTCTCCATGATGCAATACTTAGATATAAAGGAGCTGTCTATCAGGATCCAGATTAGGCACAGAACTTTCTAAGTGTCCTATATTTAGAATGTGACATACTGGTGCTACATGCACATTCTGTTCTTACAAAAGTGGACAATATCATGATTGAAGTGCCACTTTTACTGTGGCAAAATGCCTGTTGTTTCAGATGTGTATTATATGAGAAGCTCATTGGAGAAGAGAAAGCCTAATTGAAATATCTGTCTGTTTTGGAAGGTTTATATTCCACAAGATCCTGAAGATCCTTTCCTTCTTTTCCTTAAGTAGACAAATGCTTCATGATAAAACCATCCGGGGAACATCAACTTGACACTGTGTGGGTAAAGGACTTGACAAAAATACAGGCAGTTTTGTTCTTATCAATTGAGGAAAAGGTTTAGCTCTTTAAGTTGTTTGATACCACCAAGGAAACACTCGAAGGAGTTAATGTGCTCCTGAAGAAAAGTGTTCTTGAGGAAACTTTGGGGTAGAAATTTACGGCAAGTCCTTTAGGATCAGAAACAAAATAATCTATTTAAGGTTTCCTTTGAGTCTACATTCTCAGTTTTGTCATTTTGTTGAAAGATTTCCCACTGGCTATGTTAGGAATCTTATTTCTTTCAAGGTTTCCTCCATCACTGATACAGAATGACCTGGAGTTACTAGAAAATAGATTGCATGAGAACTGAAAAACCTTTCCTTTTTCCTTTTTTTTTTTCTTTTTTTGAGACAGGGTCTCCCTCTGTCACCCAGGCTGGAGTGCAGTGGTATTATCATGGCTCACCATAACCTTGACCTCCTTTGGCTCACATAGTCCTCCCACCTCAGCCTCCCAGGTAGCTGGGACTACAGGTGTTCATCAACTTGTCTGGATAATTTTTTCTTTTTTTTTGTAGAGACAGGATTTCACCGTGTTGCCCAGTCTCGTCATTTTTCTAATACTGGTAAGGAAACCTGCCTGCAGGGTACAAATAATACAGTTCTTTTAAAAGTGCTAGGTTATCCTTTGAGCTAGGTCATTCTTGATCTGTGTTATGTGAACTGAAAAAGGCAGCTGGACCTGGCCAATCAGTCATATAAACACCTAGGTGCCCTCTGTAGATATGACAAGAAGGATAAGGAAGATAGGAAGTTGTTCCTATTTCCTGCTTATCCTGTGCTGCTTTTTCCTCTCATCTCTTTCTCAGTGCTGCCTATTCTGGAGCTTGTTGAAACCATTTTGTTTGGAAGCAATTTTAAGAAAGAATTTTTTACATAAATCTGTGGTCCAGGAGTACTCTGGCAGGTGTAAGGCTTAGGCATTGTTAGTTGAGAAAGAAAGAAAATGGATCATGGGGATAGAGGAGAAAGAAAAGAAAGATTCAAAAGAATGCTACCAGCGGTGGTTTCAGATTGGTGTCTCAGTAGTATAGCATATTATGTTTAATTTGGATGTGATCCAGTTGGGGGCTAGTTTATTTTTTGCACCTTAGATTGGAATGTTTTTATTTTTATTTATTTATTTTTTTGAGATAGGGTCTCACTCTGTCACCCAGGCTGGAGTGCAGTGATCATGGCTCACTGCAGCCTCGACCTCCCAGGCTCAGTCAGTTCTCGCACCTCAGCCTCCCAAGTAGCTGGAATTACAGGCACATGCCAACATGCCTGGCTAATTTTTTTTAATTTTTGTAGAGACAGGGTTTTGCCATGTTGCCCAGGCTGGTCTCAAACTCCTATGCTCAAGCAGTTCTCCTGACTCAGCCTCCCAAAGTGCTGGGATTATTAGACGTGAGCTACCACGTCTGGTTTCAAAATGCGTCTCTTTTTCCTCAATGCTATTGAAATTTTAGAGAATTAAGAAAAAAATGCATCCATAATGCTATCTTCCTAACAAAACCACTGTTAAACTATTGATATACTTCTAGCCAAATCTATTTTTATTCTCTAATTATTTTTATGTGCCTGAAATTAGAAAATGCTTACATTTTTTCTCCTGCTTCTGTGAAATATCTTTCATTGTGTCCTTGGAAAGCTGACTGATGGACAAATATTGGATGATACCACAGTGCATTCACTAAATTGTCACTGTAGTCTGAAAAGGAACATTGTGTTGCATGTTGCTTTTTTTTAGTAGGTGGCTAATATTTGTATACACCATTACCATTTTTTTTTTAAATTTTATTTCGGCTGGTCATGTGGCTTATACCTGTAATCCTAGCACCTTGGAAGGCTGAGGCGGGTGGATCACCTGAGGTCAGGAGTTCAAGACCAGCCTGGCCAACATGGTGAAACTCCGTCTCTACTAAAATTACAAAATTAACCAGGTATGGTGGCACACACATGTAGTCCCAGCTACTCGGGAGGCTGAGACAGGAGAATCACTTGAACCCGGGAGGCAAAGGCTGCAGTGAGCCAAGATCGTGCCATTGAACTCCAGCCTGGGCAAGAAAGAGCGAGACTCCGTTTCAAAAAAAAATTTGTTTCAATAGTTTTTGGGGTACAGATGGTTTTTGGTTACATGGGTAAGTTCTTTAGTGGTGATTTCTGAGATTTTAGTGCGCCTATCTATCACCCAAGCAGTTTATACTGTACCCAATATGTAGTATTTTATTCCTTACCCCCCTGCGCTTGCCCCCACAACCAAGTCCCCAAAGTCTATTATATCATTCTTATGCCTTTGCGTCTGTATATTTTAGCTCCCAATTATAAGTGAGATCATATTATATTTGATTCTCCATTGCTGAGTTACTTCACTTAGAGTAATGGCCTCCAACTCTATCCAAGTCGCTGCAAGAGGCATTATTTCATTCCTTTTTGTGGCTGAGTAGTATTACATGGTACAGTGTATATACCACATTTTCTTTATCTGCTCGTCGGTTGATGAGCACTTGGGTTTTTCCCGTATCTTTGCAGTTGTGAATTGTTTTGCAATGAACATGTGTGTGCATGTGTCTTTTTCGTATAATAACTTCTTTTCCTTGGGTAGAGACCTAGTAGTGGGATTACTGGATCAAATGTAGTTCTACTTTTAGTTCTTTAAGAAATCTTCGGGTCATGCCTGGTGGCTAACGTCTGTAATCCCAGCACTTTGGGAGGCCAACATGGGCAGATCACCTGAGGTCAGGAGTTTGACACCAGCCTGGCCAACATGGCGAAACCCTGTCTCTACTAAAAATACATAAATTAGCTGGGCATGGTGGCGTATGCCTATAGTTCCAGCTACTTGGAAAGCTGAGGCAGGAGAATTGCTTGAACCTGGCAGGCGGAGGTTGCAGTGAGCCGAGATTGCACCATTGCACTCCAGCCTGAGCGACAAAGCGAGACTCCAATCTCAAAAAAAAAAAAAAAAAGAAATCTTCATATTGTTTTCCTTAGTGGTTGTACTAGTTTACATTCCCACCAGCAATGTATACACTATTACTATTAGTTAAGTGTATAATCTTTAAAATTATGCTGAAGATGATTGGAGACCCCTGAGAAAACTTTTCTGTCCTTTTCAGGAGTTGTTCTAATTTGTGTCTGGGATATATCAGCTGCTACATTAAGAAGTACATTTTTTCATGTTTCCTTTTTTTTTTTTTTTTTTTTTTTTTTTTGAGACAGAGTCTCGCTCTGTTGCCCAGGCTGGAGTGCAGTGGTATGATCTCGGTTCACTGCTACCTCCACCTCCACCTCCTGGGTTCAAGCGATTCTCCTCTCTCAGCCTCCCAAGTAGCTGGGATTACAGACATGTGCCATCTCACCTGGCTAGTTTTTGTATTTTTAGTAGAGATGGGGTTTTGCCATGTTGGCCAGACTGGTCTCGAACTCCTGATCTCCTGTGATTTGCCCGCCTTGGCCTCCCAAAGTGTTGGTATTACAGGCATGAGCCACCACACCCAGCTGGTGTTTCCATTTTTAAATGAGTTCTTAATAATCATATCCAGATATATCTTCTCTAGTGAAATAAAAGTAATAAACCATCATCAGTCTTTATTCTGGTGGACAGAATAATAAGCTAGCTCTGATGAATGAGAAATGGTGTCAGATAAGTTGCGAATGTCCTGAATCTTTATTGGAGAAAACTTCTTGGTGGAGTAGTTCTGCTTTATTTAGCCTGAATCAAGTAAATTCCAGTACATTAAAGTCATTTAGAATTTCAATATAGCCAATTCTGTGAGGACAGACTTACTTGAGAATTCTTTTGTGATTCATACTGTAATGAAATTTTGCTGGTTTATTTTGTTAAAGGAAGTCAAAATATTTTTAAGTTACGGAATATTTAGCTAAATGAGCTATACTTGTTAGCAATGTGTATAGAAGAAAACAGGTCACGAAATTTGGCTTGCATTCTTTCATGGTAATCTTTAATCTCAAATACCATGTGTTAGAAAGGTTAGATGGTCTTTTTCATCCTTATTATTTAATCCTGGCGGTTGGGTTTTTCTTCTCCCTTTTGTTAAAATAGGTCTAATAATTAATACTAACAGGTTCACAGATATATTCTTTTTTTTATATTTTGAGAAGGAGTTTCCTTCTTGTTGCCCAGGCTGAAGTGCAGGGGTGCAACCTTGGCTCACTGCAACTTCTGTCTCCCGGGTTCAAGTGATTCTCCTGCCTCAGCCTCCCAAGTAAGCTGGGATTACAGGCATGTGCCACCATGTCCCACTGATTTTGTATTTTTAATAGAGATGGGGTTTCACCATGTTGGTCAGGCTAGTCTTGAACTCCTGACCTCAGGTGATCCACCCGCTTTGGCCTTCCAAAGTGCTGGGATTACATGCATGAGCCACCGCGCCTGGCGATATGTTCTTAATAATTTGACTACATCAGTTTTGTTCATCACTGTACCTTTAGCACCTCCTATAGTACCTGGTAACAACAGACACTCAGGTATTTGTTACATGGACAGTGTTGGTTATCATTAATTGCAGAATAATAAACTTTCATTTTTTTCTTTTTATGGTGGTTGGGTTTTTTTGTCCTTTTTTTTTTTTGAGATAGAGTCTCTGTCACCCAGGCTGGAGTCCAGTGGCATGATCTTGACTCACTGCAATCTCTGCCTCCTGGGTTTAGGTGATTCTTGTGCGTCAGCCACCGGAGTGGCTGGGATTATAAGCATGCACTACCAGGTCCGGCTAATGTTTGTATTTTTAGTAGAGATGGGGGTTTTACCACGTTGGCCAGGCTGGTCTCGAACTCCTGGCCTCAAGTGATCTGCCCGCCTCAGCCTCCCCAAGTGCTGGGATTACAGGTGAGAGCCACCGTGTCTGGCGTTGTTGTGATTTAATTGGAATTTTTCTTAAATTACACTAAAAGGCAAAGTTAGTTTTGTAACTATAAGGCTTAGTAGTAAAACCTCTTGAACATCTTCTAAAAGTTTAGGCTGAGTAACTTCTGAAATGTTTTTCATTCTGGGATGGAAATTGGTTTTAGAAATAACTATAGTTATTTATTTATTTATTTATTTATTTATTTATTTAGAGACAGAGTCTCACTTTGTCTCCAAAGCTGGAGTGGCGCAATCTTGGCTCACTACAACCTCTGCCTCCTGGGTTCTAGTGATTTTCCTGCCTCAGCCTCTCGGGTAGCTGGGATTACAGATGTGCGCCACCCTGCTTGGCTAATTTTTGTATTTTTAGTAGAGACAGGGTTTCACCATGTTGGCCAGGCTGCCCAGCTATAGTAATTTTGAGTGGTTAAGTAGAATTTCTGCTGATGGCAGCTTTCTGAGGCTAATATTATAATACACTCTCACAGGTTGCCGTGGGTAGCATAGTGAAAAGAGTTGGGAGATTTAGTAATTAGTATAAAATTAAATATTCTAAAATTTATTGGAATAATTTGGTAATGGGAAGAGGTATTTGGTGACTGATTTCTCTAAGAAAATATACAATTTCTCTTTTAAAAGTGAATGTATAAATGAACATGAAAATAGCACAGAAAGAAATAAATTATTATGTTTTTGTTTACTTCAGGGCTGAAAACACAGTTAAATCACTTTCAAAGTTAAAAGACTGTTAAGAACACAAGATGGGGACTCCTGGTTCTGGGAGGAAAAGAACACCTGTGAAAGACCGATTTTCTGCAGAAGATGAAGCTCTGAGTAACATTGCCAGAGAGGTATGTTTGGTAAATCCCCTCTCAACACTGAGTTGCACAGATGTATTGTAAAAATGCCGATTTGACAGAGATAGATGTTTACTAATTGAACTAGTTTCAGATGTTTATCATGAGCAAGATGTTATAACTGGTCTCTAAAATAGTGTATTAGAATAAAATATAGTTGGATATTATCAACAGAAATCAAATATAGAGATGAATCTCTGAACAACACGTTTTATTTGAGACAATAGAATTGTAATTTGGGCATACACACAGACTGCCTTGGTCTTTGGTATGTCCAAAGAACAAAGAAAAGATTGAAGTTTTTATTAGAGAAATGTTATGTGTTGTTTTGAAAGAAAATGCATTGGCACTAGCGAAGTTTTTGGGAGCTGGCATGCTCTGATTTGTGAGTGACTGTGGAAGGTAAAACTAGTCTTAGAGTTACAGCATTTCGTTTCCGCAGCTACTCGGTAAAACTGATCTTAAGGTTATAATAGGTCACTTCAGCAGCTGGCTTGCCAGATAATCCCTGGGCAGGTGCTTGTTCCCTAAATGCTTTTCGTTTCCTTTTCTTCCCCCCGGTCTCGTGACTCTAATTTAATTGGGTATGACAAGATAATTCCAATGTATATAATCAATTTTCACAATATCCAATGCATCCAAAATTAATTTTTCTTTATATTTTTGTGGGTTACTTGAGTTCCATGTACTTGTTATAATGTATTGAAATTTATAATTAATCTTTCGAATGTAAACTTAGGATAATTAGAATGTTGAAGATATGAGGACTATATAGACATACTCATTGGGCTATTCTGTTAATATGCTTTAGAGGTGGTATATAAATGTTGATGGAAACAATATTTCTTGTCTGTTCAGATTCAGTGTTTTATTTTTTGAAACATTGCAGTGGAATTTTTATGTTTAATTCTTTTAGTTGGTAACAGAACTTCTGGGGCAATTTTGTTTCAGTTTGTTGTAACTCAGAAAAAAGAAAAAGGGAAGGGGTGTCACCTGTTGAATCACTGGCAACATTTCCTGCAGTATATTGGAAATTTAACATGACTACCAGCTGGGATTTCTTAGTCAATTGCCAACTTTGTTTCAGACTCTATCTGCAACTGCAGACTGACCGTAAACTAATATGGTATGAGAGTTGCTTAGAGCATCATTAAGAGCATCATTAAATTATATTTTTTTTGGTGAGAATTATTACCATAGCACTTCCTCTTTGTTATTAGTAAATAACTCATTTAGGAATAGTGTAGTTTCCTTTTGACACATTACACACTCTTTTGATCCAGCTCATTGTTATGATTTTCCTTTTGGAAGCTACTCAGTTAGCTTTTGAATTAGAAGTCAAATGCTGTAGGAGGCTATTTGAAGCAAAGGAAAGTTACTACCTAAAACCTGATAAGAAATTGTGATATTACTATAACAAAAATACATTAAAAATCAGTGAGAGCGTTTGGATTGATTCCATGTCTTTGCTGTTGTGAATAGTGCTCCAGTGAACATACATGTGCAGGTATTTTTATAATAGAATGGTTTATATTCCTTCAGGTAATAGGATTGCTAGGTCAAATGGTATTTCTGGTTCTAGGTCTTTGAGGAATCACCACACTGTCTTCTACAATGGTTGAACTAATTTACATTCTCACCAACGGTGTAGAAGCATTCCTGTTTCTCCACAGCCTTGTCAGCATCTGTTGTTTCTTGACTTTTTAATAATCGCCATTCTGACTGGTGTGAGTGGTTTCTCATTGTGGTTTTGATTTGCATTTCTCTAACGATCAGTGATGTTGAGCTTTTTTTTCATGTTTGTTGGCTGCATACATGACTTCTTTTGAGAAGTATCTGTTCATGTCCTTTGCCCACTTTTTAATGGTTTTTTTTTTTTTTCTTGTAAATTTGTTTAAGTTCCTTGCAGATTCTGGATATCAGATCTTTGTCAAATGGATAGATTGCAAAAACTTTCTCTCATTTTGTAGTTTGTTCACTCTGATGGTAGTTTCTTTTGCCTTACAGAAGCTCTTTAGTTCGTTAGATCCCATTTGTCAATTCTTGCTTTTGTTGCAATTGCTATTGATCATGAAATTTTTGCCTGTGCTAATGTCCTTAATGGCATTGCCTAGATTTTCTTGTAGGGTTTTTATAGTTTTGGGTTACATTTGAGTTACATCAACTCTCAAATGCCCATCAATGATAGACTGGATAAAGAAAATGTGGTACATACACTCCATGGAATATTGTGCAGCCATAAAAAAGAACTATATCATATCCTTTGCAGGGACATGGATGGAACTGGAAGCCATTATCCTCAGCAGACTAACACAGGAACAGAAAACCAAACACCACATATTCTCACTTATAAGTGGGAGCTGAACAGTGAGAACACATGGACACAAGAAGGGGAATAACACACACTGGGGCCTGTGGAGAGGGAGCACAGTGGGGTGAGGGAGAGCACCAGGATAAATAGCTAATGCATATGTGGCTTAATACCTAGGTGATGGGTTGATGGGTACAGCAAACCATCATGACATATGTTTACCTATGTAACAAACCTGCAGGTCCTGCACATGTATCCCAGAACTTAAAATAAAATCAAAGAGATACTTTTCAGTTAAAAAGATACTTAAAAATGAAAAAGTAGATACGACTTTACAGCGAGTGATCTTAACTATTTGCACAAATGAAGCATTTTGGAAGCAACATAATTGTAGTTGAAAATTGAAACTACCCAGAATGTTTCCTTTCAAAATTGGCGGGATTTACCCTGATTTCTATAAGGGAGGAAAATGCCACCACCTTCTAGTGTCCTTTTGTGTTGTCACTAAGTATTTGAACTTTTTTTTTTTTTTTTTTAAATGTGATGCTTTCTTTAAAAAATTGTATAGGATTCTAACATCCAGCACTTGTTGAGTGCTTACTATGTGGCAAACACTATTCTAAGCATTTTACATGCATTAATTCATTTAATCCTTATAAAATTCTGCAAAAAATTCTGCAATCAGTTTTTTTATCTGCATTTTGCAGATGCAGAAACCGTTGCACAGAAAAATTAAGTAACTTCCCCAAGGTTACATAGCTAGGAAATAGTAGAGCTTGGATTCAGACCCTGAAGCTCCAGAGTCTGTGCATTTAACCTTTTACTATGCCAGATTGTTTCTCAGTCCTCTCTAATTCCACCATTAATAGCTTGTTTTTTGTTTTTCAGTAATTTTTCATGACTTTGAACGCAGTTTCACATCTTGATTCTCTCAAAAGTCTTGAGCTAAGTAGGATAGATATTATTATTAGCCATGTTTACAGCTGAGGAAACAGATGATGTTCAGATAACTGTCTAAAATGTATCAGAAGCAAGGCTAAAAATACAGCCATTTGAGTCATTGTTCATGTTCCAGGAGAGGTAGGCTTTGGAGACTTACAAGTGTGACTTTGAATTCTGGCTATACTAGTTGCTGGTTGAATAATTTTGTTAAAACTTCTCTAGACTTCAGTTTCCTCATCTGTAAAATGGCAGTAATATTATTTTCCTGTCTCACAGAGTTGTGATGGTTAGAGAAGATAAGGCACATTAACCTTTAGAACAGTGTTAGGCTTGCAGTAGGCTATTTGTTGCTTATTAAAAAACAGAAATTGGGCTGGGCGTGGCGGGTCACGCCTGTAATCCTAGCACTTTGGGAGGCTGAGGCAGGTGGATCACGAGGTCTGGAGTTCAAGACTTGCCTGGTCAACATGGTGAAACCCCATCTCTACTAAAAATACAAAAATTACCTGGGTGTGGTGGTGGGCGCCTGCTACTCGGGAGCCTGAGGCAGAGAATTGCTTGAACCGAGGAAGCGGAGATTGCAGTGAGCTGAGATTGCACCACTGCATTCCAGCCTGGGCAACAGAGTGAGACTCCGTCTCAAAACAAAAAACAGAAAAGCAGAAATTGAAAATGATAATAGAAGACTGGTAGAAAGGTAAAATGGACTCTTTTTGTAAAATAAACTTATTACGATAGGTTTTCTAAAACATGACTGATCATCAGAGTCTCCCGGGGAGCTTTATCAGTGTACAGATTCCCAAGCTATACCTCATACTTAGTAAATCTGAATCTATGGGGGTTGAGTCCAGAAATCTGTATTGATTGGTTGATTGAAGGAGATGAGGTCTTGCTATGTTGTCTAGGCGGGACTTGAACTCCTGGGCTCAAGTGATCCTCCTGCCTCAGCCTCCTGAGTAGCTGGGGCTACAGGTTCGCACCACTACACCCAGGCAGAAATTTGTAGTTAAATACACACATACACACTCTCTCTCCTCCCCGCCCCAACTCCTTCCTATGAGATTCTGATGGCCAGCCAAGTTTGGGGACCATGAACCCAAATATACAGATGATCCTATCCTGAATGGTCACTTTTTAATACTTCCAGGTTATTATCCTTCCTTTATGCAATTATTTTGTTATGAAATAACTGAGTTTAATAGTTATTCTATTAGAATGTATGCCATAATAATAAAAATTACTACTATAAAAGGATATAAAAAACCAATAATTCTAGTTTTTATTTATATCTTCAGAGCTCTGAACATGCATATGGCAACTTTAGTAACAAGATAAAAAGGCTCAAGTTTAACTTGAAACCTGGAAAAGGACCAGTTTTCATTGTTAAGATTCAGGACTTTATTTGCATGATGAGTGTCTAATATGTGATACAGTACTTTTAAAACTGTAGAGGAAATATGTTTAGCTGTTTTTTGTTTTGTTTTGTTTTGTTGTTGTTGTTGTTGTTTTTGAGATGGAGTTTTGCTCTTCTTGCCCAGACTGGAGTGCAATGGTGTGATCTTTTTTTTTTTTTTTTGAGACGGAGTCTTGCTCTGTCGCCCAGGCTGGGGTGCAGTGGCCGGATCTCAGCTCACTGCAAGCTCCGCCTCCCGGGTTTAAGCCATTCTCCTGCCTCAGCCTCCCGAGTAGCTGGGACTACAGGCGCCTGCCACCTCGCCCGGCTAGTTTTTTGTATTTTTTAGTAGAGATGGGGTTTCACCGTGTTAGCCAGGATGGTCTTGATCTCCTGACCTCGTGATCCACCCGTCTTGGCCTCCCAAAGTGCTGGGATTACAGGCTTGAGCCACAGCGCCCGGCCAGTGGTGATCTTGGCTCACCATAACCACCGCCTCCCGGGTTCAAGCGATTGTCCTGCATCAGCCTCCTGAGTATCTGGGATTACGAGCATGTGCCACCACACCTGGCTAATTTTGTATTTTTAGTAGAGACAGGGTTTCTCCATGTTGGTCAGGCTGGTCTCGAACTCCCAACCTCAGGTGGTCCACCTCCCTCGGCCTCCCAAAGTGCTGGGATTACAGGCGTGAGCCACCGCGCCCGGCCATTTAGCTGTTTTAATAGTTCTTTCATATGTTCCTTGTTAGTCTTTCTTTTTCCTTTCAAGTTTTCATAGCGATTCACCCATACACTGTTTATTCATACACTGGATGGTTGACATTCACATACGGTTCCTAGTCCTCATTTTCTTTAGTAGGATTGTCCTTTTCAGCAAAAACATTGCCTTAAATTGGAAGCAAACAAAAACTAACAAAATCCCCACAACAACAAAAATGACAAACTGCTTAATCTTTTTTGTTGTTGTTAAATCTTAAGAGTTTAGTTTATCTTTTCCTAATTTCAGATTGTTTTTTGAATTGAACAGGGAATGCCATCAATAAAGAAAAATAGCCTCTTTTTCTCTTGCTGCTTAGGATTTGCTCAGGTTTCCATGCTTCTCAATTGGCCAAAAAGCAGGTAATCTGAATAAAGAGGAAAAGAAGCAAAAAGCATAAATATGGTTTATAAACGGAATAATTTGTGTGCTAAAATATGGAACTGAATGCATTTTAATAATCTTAGTAAAATAAGCATAATAGAAATTTTACCATTTTAACCATTAAGTGTATACTTCTGTTGCATTAAGTACATTTACCTTGTTGTGCAGCCATCACCACATCCATCTGCAGAATGCTTTTCTTTTTTTCCTTTTTTTTCTTTTTTTTGAGATGGAGTCTCGCTCTGTCGCCCAGGCTGGAGTGAGTGACGCGATCTTGGCTCACTGCAAACTCCGCCTCCCGGGTTCACGCCATTCTCCTGCCTCAGCATCCAGAGTAGCTGGGACTACAGGTGCCCACCACCACACCCGGCTAATTTTTTGTACTGTTAGTAGAGACAGGGTTTCACCGTGTTGACCAGGATAGTCTCGATCTCCTGACCTCGTGATCCGCCCACCTCAGCCTTCCAAAGTGCTGGGATTACAGGCATAAGCCACTGTGCCCAGCCCAGAATGCTTTTCATATTGAAAAACCTGAGTGCATTTTTATGTTTAATTTTATTATTGTTTTTTTTTTGAGACAGGGTCTCTGTCGCCCAGACTGGAGTGCAGTGGCATGATCTTGGCTCACTGCAACCTCTGCCTCCTGGGTTCAAGTGATTCTCCTGCCTCAGCCTCCTGTGTAGCTGGGACTACATGTGAGCACCACCATGCCCAGCTAATTTTTTACTTTTAGTAGAGGTAGGATTTCGGCGTGTTGGCCAGGCTGGTCTCAAACTCCTGACCTCAAGTGATCTGCCTGCCTCCACCTCCCAGAGTGCTGGAATTACATGCATGAGCCACCGCGTCCGGCCTCTGAGTGTGGTGGGGTTTTTTTTTTTTTTGAAACGGAGTGTCATTCTGTTGCCCAGGCTGGAGTGCAGTGGTGCCATCTCTGCTCACTGCAATCTCTGCCTCGTGAGTTCAAATGATTTTCCTGCCTCAGCCTCCCGAATAGCTTGGATTACAGGCATGTGCCACCATGCACAACTCATTTTTGTATTTTTAGTAGACACAGGGTTCTACCATGTTGTTCAGGCTGGTCTCGAACTCCTGATCTCAAGTGATCACCTGCCTTGGCCTCCTCTAAGTGCATTTTTAAAAGATATTGAAATGTTTGAAGACTATTCTGTGAAGGCAGGAATGTGAGTAGATTTATAAGTCCTGTCTGTCTGTAATAGGCATGTTGCTGTTTAGCTCTGGGAGCTCAGGCTATTATAGCTGTAGGAAGAACTCAAAAGAGCAAATGTCGGAAGGGATCATTTTCCCTAGGGTTTCAGAAGACCAATCTGAATGCTTACCTTTTGTGTGTGTTTGGCTTTGATATTTTCATGGGCTTGTGAAAAATGCCATTTCAGAGTTGACTTTCAATGAAATTGTCTGAAAGCACATACCTGGTGTATCAAATTGGGGACCCTTAGTTACCTAGCCTCTCAAAAGGAGAATGATGAGGGTAGAGTGAAAGCTAGTTATGCTTCCTTACCATAGTCAGTTTGGTGAGTGTTAATGGTGAGTTTCCTTTTGAGAAGAAATCGAAGCCTCTTGAAGGGTTTGCAAAGTCTTTTTAAGGCATCACGGAAGCCTGGAGTATTATTGCTTTTCTTGTTTTAGAGCTGAAATTATGAAGAAAACACATTTTATGCATACTTCTTCAAGTGAACGTCACAAGAATGTTTTTTTTTTTTTTTTTTTTTTTTTGAGAGAGAGAGTCTCACTCTGTCGCCCAGGCTGGAGTGCAGTGGCGCCATCTCGGCTCACTGCAACCTCCGTCTCCCAGGTTCAAGTGATTCTTGTGCCTCATCTTCCCGAGTACCTGGGATTATAGGCGTGTGCCACCACACCCAACTAATTTTTGTAGTTTTAGTAGAGACAGGGTTTCACCATGTTGGCCTGGCTGGTCTTGAACTTCTGACCTCAGGTGATCACCCGCATCGGCCTACAGGCATGAGCCACCATGCCCAGCCACAAAAATGTTGCTGATTTTTGTCCCTGATGATCTGAGATTTTTTTTTCTGGGTCTAAAATTCTGTGATTTCTTCCAAAGTCCAGAACCCAAAGAAAATTGATGTTCTTATGCATAGTTCTCTTAAATCTAGAGAATGAATGTCAGACATAGAAACTGATTATCTTTTCTAGATTAGAGGATAGGATCCTGAAGAGGAAGTCGTAAGTGACTTCCCCGAGGTTACATAGGTAAGAAATAGCAGAGCTTGGATTCAAACTCGTGAAGGTTGGCTCCAGAGTCTGTACATTTAATCTCTTACTATGATTAATAATTATTTAATAATAATTATTTTTAATAGAGACAGGGTCTTGCTGTGTTGCCCAGGCTGGTCTCGAACTCCTGAGCTCATTCAGGAAAAGATCATAAGAATTGGAGTCTAGTAAAGAGTATCCAGAGATTTTTTGTGTTGAGCAGAATTTACACATAAACATAATTGGTTTAACTGAGTGTGGTGACATGTGCCTGTAGTCCCAGGTACTCAGCAGGCTGAGGTAGGAGGATTGCCTGAGCCCAGGAGTTCAAGGCTTCAGTGAGCTGTGATCCTGCCACTGCACTCCTGCTTGGGCAACAGAGTGAGACCCCCACCTCTAAAAATGAAAAATATGGCGTGTAAATTTACTTGTAAGAGGTAAGAAAGGAAGCTCCATGGCTGTTTCACATTTGTGTCTGCTAGAACATTTGGATTTTTTTTTTTTTTTTTTTTTTTTTTTGAAGCGGAGTCTTGCTCTGTTACCCAGGCTAGAGTACAGTAGCATGATCTCAGCTCAGTGCAGCCTCTTCCTCTCAGGTTCAAGTGATTCTCCTGCCTCAGTCTCCCGAAAAGCTGGGATCACAGGTGCGCGCCACCACACCCAGCTAATTTTTGTATTTTTGGTAGAGACGGGGTTTCACCATGTTGGCCAGGCTGTTCTTGAACTCCTGACCTTAGGTGATCCCCCCATCTTGGCCTCCCAAAGTGCTGGAATTACAGGCATGAGCCACTGCACCCAGCCTGGATTTCTTTTTTTAAAGTGTGCAGTTCAGTGATATTATCCCATGTGTTTGGTTCGGATTATTCTGTGTAAATTGGATTTGTCTGAAAAGAAACTCCACAGGAGGCAGAATTACTCTTATTTAAAATACTCATGTTTTCAGTGGTGGTACACAAAAATTCATAGAAGATTATGAAATGACCGGGTGCAGTGGTGCATACCTGTTAGTCCCAGCTACTTGGGAGGCTGAGGTGTGACGATTGCTTGAGCACAAGAGTTCGAGACTAGCCTCAGCAACATAGCAAGACCCTGTCTCTTAAAAAAGAAAGAATATTATGAAATATGAGGTTTTTTAAATTATAAAAAGTGAATGTTTTTCTGTTCATTTCTACCCGGTTAAAAAATAATTATCCTCCTTTGTGCCGATTGTTTTTATTAGACAGATTCTTTGAAAGAGCGAATCTAAGTTGTGGTTTTAGTCATTTAGGATTCCTTCAGGTGGTGTTAGTACATGAATTCAGCCAATTCTATTTGTTTATTTGTTACTATTATTAATAATAACAATAGAGACAGAGTCTTGCTGTGTTGCCCAGGCTGGTCTCAAACTCCTGAGCTCAAAAGATCCTTCTGCCTTGGCTTCCCAAAGTGCTGGGATTACAGGCCCTCAGCCAGTTTTCTTTGAGTGCAGACTCAGTGTTTTCTCCATTTACACACTGGAACTAAGGCAAAAGAGGAGGGTAAGGGATGTGATTGGGGTTACACTTTGCTTGTACTTTTTCCCTACTTCTAGAGCCTGGTCCTGTACACTTTTTGTGATAGCCAGTGTTACTCTCAGCATCTCACTGTCCCTTGATTTGTTCCTCTTACTGGAATTAAGGGAGGATTATTGAGCCTTAAAACTTAGTTTTGTCTTAGTGTGACTGAAAAGTATTGGTATAACTTTCCTTGTCATAATCTTTGCCATTCATGTGACTTATAGGGATTTGGAGAAAAATATTCAGATAGCACAATATCATTAACCTAAATTTGAAGACATTACTAGCAACACCTTTTTTTCCCCCATCACAAGTATTTTTGTTAGTCCCCAAATTAGTATTTTTGGTTAAATATGTCATTGCAGATCCAAAGTTTTACTTTTTATATACTGTTTATTGGGTTGTATAAAGTCGTCTCTCATTCCAAAAGAATATTTTTGCTGTCAAAAAGTCTCTGAGTAAATGGAAGATATAGTTGTTTGACATCAGAAAAAGATGAGTTATAATTTCTATAGTTTATCTACTACATGTTGGTGTTTATGCTCAGAAAAATTTAAATATTTGTCCTCAACTACCAAAAACTTAAAGTGGTTAAACATAATCATGTTGTAAGATTTAATTAAAAATTTTTGTACTAAAGGGAAGTTGCTAGGAAATAGAGCAATAATTTTTGTTAATTTGGAAACCATGGCAACACAGTAAATATTATGTCTCCTAATTTGTCTTTCAGTGTTTTTTTGGCATGAGTGTCATGGAAGAGTAAACAAAATTAAACACAGTGAACTCTGAGTCTTTGCTACCTGAGTTAGTCATTTTCTTTGAATGTTTTACTTTCTCAAATTTTGTATTTCAAATTTCTTGAAATTAAAGCATAGTCTTTAAAGGCCTAAATTGTACATTATCTCTCTTTTGTCCATGCCAGTTGCATAGGTTTTATATTATGGATGTATGTGCGGCTGGCAATTCCAGACCTTGTTGGCTCAGTTTGGTGCATTTCTGTCAAATTATGAGTTGTAAATTTGCCTCCTGTAAAATAGCAGTTTTAGCACCATCAACACTGTGATACAAAAGTTTTAAAGCTAGAGGATTTTCTTCTTTTAAAGTCATTTGAGTGTGTTTTCATTTACTACTGTAGTATTTTGTTTTGTTTTGTTTTGTTTTTGACATGAGGTCTTGCTAGGTTGCCCAAGCCAGACTCGAATTCCTAGGCTCAAGTGATTCTCCCACCTTGCCTCCTGAGTAGCTGGGATTACAGGCACCACTACCATGCCTGGCTTGTTTTTGAAAAACATTAAGATTTTGGCAATAATATAAGTATCCATGAGTCCAACACCCAGCATTATCAAATGTTAACATGTTGTCACAGTTGTTTCAGATCTTTTCTTTAAAATATTAGGAAGAAAGGAAGGGAGAAAGAGATATAAACCAAGTTTAAGGTCCTTTGTTTCGTTCCCCAGGCCTATCGCCCTCCTTCCTCCTATTAAGGAATCAGTGTGATAAAATAAAAATGTGCCCTTCCTGTTCATGTTTTAAAAGTTCTAATGACTTCTGGTCCTGCCACCTGGAGCCAATGTCGCTATGAGGGGCCGTGTCTTGCCACCACTGCCCAGGCCAGGCATGGCGTTGGGTGTCAGGCCTGCCTCACATGTCTTGGGGTGCCCAGGGTAAAGGCAGGAGTAATACTGACACCTGTAAGCAAACTGAAGTGCAATGACAGTCTCAAAGGGTCTGGGATGTCAGCCATAGCATCTGGCCCCACTCAGAGGGTTCTGTGAGAGACAAGTTGATTGTTAAAGAGGTTGCAGAGCTTGAGCTTATTTACCTTGTACACGTCAAGTGTATTTCCTGATCTAAAAAGCTTCATTGCTTTCTGCTGACTGTAACCCCAGACAAGGGTTACTACCAGGGTGGAAAATTTCAGCTCGAAACTGGACTTCCTAATGCATGTAACATGGTGCCTTCCAAAGTCAAATGCCTGACCAGGATCTGGTACCCCAACATCACAGAGATGGGGGAAATACATCTAAAGTTTACTGAGGACATTCGATTGACAGCACTGGCTGGGCTCCCACGAGAACATTGAAGGATGTTGTTTGGAGATTAAATTATTTGTTTACTAATCTTCTGAATTTTGACGATCCACTGAATGTTGAAGCTGCAGAACATCATTTGTGGGACAAGGAGGACTTCTTGAATAAAGTAGATGACTATGTCAAGTGTTAATGCCAGATGATAAAAGAAGATTGCGGGCCCGTGGATTGTGTGTTATAGTTTGTCTCTAGCGTGAAAAAGCAGCAAGAGGCAGCGCCTCCTCTCCCCTGTCCCCTGATTCTCCCTCTCAGTCCCCCTGCATTGTCCCAGTCCTGTGACCATGTTGTCCTGAAGAAGACCATCCTCATGACTGCCCATTGTAGATGGAGAATTCAACATAAAGACAGCAAGAAAACGTATTTGGGTTTCTAAAGAATTATCTGCTTACCTTATGTTTTAGGCTGTTCTTTCATTGCTAATAGACAAGACTGAGTAATTTATAAAGAAAAGAGGTTTAATTGGCTTATCGTTCTGCAGGCTGTGCAAGCATGGCACTGGCATTTACTTAGCTTCTGGGGAGGCCTCAGGGAGCTTTTACTTATGGTGGAAGGTGAAGCAGGAGCAGGCACGTCATGTGGTGAGAACAGAAATGAGAGCGCAAGGGGGACAGCCAGATCTCATGAGAACTTAACTGTTGTGTGGACACACCACACTGTGAGGGATCCACTCCCGTGACCCAAATACCTCCCACCAGGCCTTACCTCCAAAACTGGGGATTACATCTCAACATGATATTTGGAAGAGACATCTAAACTATGTCATCTTAACATGTTTACTTTTTTGAACTCATATTGTTTAGGCTGTTGGTGATATTCTTGAGAAGTTGTAATGGACCCAAAATTGAGGCTGGAGCTTTCTTATTCTTTTCCCAAACAAAATTGGTTTTCTGCTGAAGTGATGCTCATGATGTGTTCGGTGTAACGTGCAGATTGGAATAAGAAACCTGCTACAAATTGTGATTGGATGCAAATGCCCTTAGTGTCCTCTGTGCATGTTGGCTCTATCTAGATGTCGTGAAGTTTCCCAGAATGCATAAAGTCTTTCACTGTAGACATTTTTATTGAAATGCATATTTTATTTAATTTAAGTATATTTTGAACCAATTAATTTTTTACAATGTAATGCTTTATTTTTTGTATTCTCATTTTGTATTTTGTATTTTCATTGTATAGGGCAAAGATGTTGGGTTGGCCGAGGGTGGTGGCTCACACTTGTAATCCTAGCACTTTGGGAGGCCGAGGTGGTGGGCAGATTGTGTGAGCCCAGGAGTTGAGACCAGCTGGGGCAATATGGTGAAACCCTGTCTCTACAAAAAATACAAACATTAGCCAGGCATGGTGACATGTGCCTGTAGTTCCAGCTACTCAGGAGGCTGAGGTGGGAGGATTACCTGAGCCCAGGGAGATCGAGGCTGTGATGAGCCATGATCATGCCCTGGGCAACAGAGTGAGACCCTGTCTCCAAAAAAAAAAAAAAAAAGGAAAAATGTTGGGTCAGCCACCTGTTGAAGAGAAATACAAAGAAACTATGAAAGACATTATTCGTTTTGTCCAAATGCAGCAAGAATATGGCTCTGAAAAGTCATCTCTTGCTCTCAGGTCCACATGTGGCAAGTACATTTTGGAGCTCTTTGAAACTAGATCTGGATGATAAAAATAAAAACAAACAAACTGAAAGGCAGGAAGCCCATTCTCACATGCCGCTCAGAGGAAACTGGCTGGAGCTGGGACCTGCTGGGGTTGGTGTTCCTGCAGTGGTCATATGATCGTGAGCCAGTAGCTACTCTAGAGTACCAGACCCTGACTGTCCTGAGGGACAGGAGAGATACCTCAGGAATCAGCCCAAACAATGTCTGATGCTACTGAGACTGTACCTGTGACCACTTTCTTATTTGCTTTGACTCCGGGCCCTGCCTGGGGGTGAACCTCTTAGGTCTTGGAGGACCAGGATTCAGCGGCAGCATATGCCATACTTGGCCAGGTTAACACACATTGGAGGAAGAGCCCAGAAAAAAAACAGGTGGATTTATTCCAGTTTTTAAACATTTGAACTAATGAAATCAAATGAGAAATAAATGTTTGTCTGGTTTCAAAAAAACATTTTAATATGTATCACCATAAACCTTGTTTAATGGGTTTTTGTATATTGCCTTCTAAGAGCTCTATAGACACAGGGGTGTAAAGCAGGTAGCACTATGGTGGAAAACTGCCAGAATAGTAACTAGTTCAGTATAACTGGAGAGGGGCTAGGGAATGGGAGGAGGTGATGTTAGAGAGGAAATAGGGACCAATCATGAAAGGATTTGTGTGCTGAGTAATTTACTTTTGATTTTCAAAGCTGTGGGGAGCCATTAAAGGGTAAATCCTTTTTCAGATTTGAATTACAGTATAATTGCTTTAGCCACCCAGTGGAGAGTGAGTGGTGGAAGGTAGAAGGCAGAAAACAGTTAGGAAGCTGTTATAGTTTTTGATTTATTTTTTGAAACAGGGTCTCACTCTGTTGCCCAGGCTATAGTGCAGTGGTACAATCTTAGCTCACTGCAACCTCCGCTTCCTGGGTTCTGGGACTACAGGCATGCACCACGACACCCAGCTAATTTTTGTGTTTTTTTTGTAGAGATGGGGTTTTGCTTTGTTGCCCAGGCTGGTCATGAAGCTGTTGTAGTTATCTTAGTGAAAGATGATGAGAACATGAAATAAGACAGTGACAATGGGAATGCAGAGGAAGGTCTGGATGGAAGAAATAGTAAAGAGAATCTTGATGGGAGCAAAGTAGTTGAGACTTAGCAACTGAATATGGAGGAAGAATAGAAAAGAGGAAAGACCCTTATGATGAGTCTTCGTGTCATATTTTGGGTAATGGGGTAGTTGATGGGGAATATAAAAAAGAAGAGGAAGGTTAAGGGAACGATTATAAATTAAATTAGGGTTGTATTGAGTCTGAGGTTCTAGTGGGAGAGCCTCAATTTTTTTTTTTTTTGGATACGGAGTGTCACTCTGTCGCCCAGGTTAGAGCACTGTGGCAAGATCTTGTGCTACCATGCCTGGCTAATTTTTGTTTTTAGTAGAGATGGGGTTTTACATGTTGCCCAGGCCGGCCTTGAACTCCTGAGCTCAAGTGATCTGCCCACCTCTCAAAGTGCCAGGACTATAGGCATGAGCCATTGTGTCCGGCCTGAATAAAAAAATAAATAAATAAAGATGCTTTACAAATTTGTATGTCATCCTTGCACAGAGGCCATACTAATCTCTGTAGCTTTCTAATTTTAGTATACGTGCTGCCATAGTGAACACAGCCTCAATTTTTAATAGCCAGTTGGATCAGGATTGTGGGAGAAAATTCTAGCTTGGGCATAGAGATTTACAGACTAACAGTATGACCCAGAAGAGAATATAGAATGAAATGAGCAAGAGCTGAAGCTTGAAAGCTTTGGTTATATTAACATTTAGGATGCTAGCTTATGAAGGATTCTGAAGGAGAGAGAGGAGAGAATAAAGAGGAAAACCAGGAGACACTAGTATTGGAGAAAGCTGAGATGAGAGTTTTAAGAAAGAATGTGTGTTTAGTGATAGCAGAAGTCCAGAAAAGACAGATGAGATAAGAATAGAAAAATTCTATTGGGTTTGGTAGTTAGAGGTCATTAGTGACTTTTGTGATGAGCAATTTCAATAAGGCGATGTGAGCAGAAGCCAGATTGTAGTCATTTGAAGAGAGTGAGAAGTGAGAAGGGAGGTGTGAGAAAGCTTAGCTGTAAAGAGAAGATAGGGTAGAATTGGACCAGGGTGAGATTTTTTGCTTGCCTTTTAAAGATCAGAGAGACTTTAAACCTAGTTATGATGAAGAGAGTGAACGAATAGAAGTAGAGAGCAAAGACCCAGAAGAGAGATCAGATGATTGGGACAAAGTCCAGGGAAGGACATTATAAAATGGAGGGCGTGTATGGGTGTGAGTGTGTGTGATGAGGCTTGGGAGGGTTTGACTTTCAACAACAGAAGAGACAGCTCTTCCAGTAGAACCACAGGGAAAGTAAGAAAGAAGGGAAGACTGGGAAGTCTGTTAGTGGCTTTGGAGGGTGTGAAGGGAATGCCTTCTTCAGACCTTAAAATGCCTTCTGTCATGAAAACATTGGCACAGGAGGTGAAATACTAAAAGTATCAGAACTGGAATAATGAAAGAAGTGCTGAACTGATAAGGTCTTGCAGAGAAACTTTTTCCATTGATAAATCAGATCATTTACGTTATATATCTTGGAAATACCTTCCTGTTTTTGTTGTTGTTTTTTAAATAGGCTACACATTGATTGGTACCCATTTTGTTTTTAAAAACCTTGTATGGTTCATTGTGCAGTAGTCTCTTCTTTATGTGATTTTGCTTTCTGAGGCTTCAGTTACTTACGTTTGACCATAGTTTGAAAATATTAAATAGAAAATTTCAGAAATAGTTTGTTTATTTTTGTTTAAATTGTGCGCTGTTCTGAGTAGCATGATGAAATCTCACATCATCCTGTACAGGACATGAATCATCCCTTTGTCTAGTGTATCTACACAGTGTACGCTACCTGCTAGATAGTCTCACGGGAGCCAGCTCTGTTATCAGGTTGACTGTCATGGTATCACATTGCTTGTGTTTGAGTAACCTTTAGTTTATTTAATAATGACCCCAAAGAGGAAGAGTGATTCTGGCAATTTGGATATGCCAAAGAGAAGCCATAAAATTCTTCCTTTAAGTGAAAAGATAGAAGTTCTCAACTTAGTAAGGAAAAAAAATTGTGTGCTGAGGTTGCTAAGGTCTATGGTAAGAACGCATCTTCTATTCATGAAATAGTGAAGAAAGAAAAGAAAAATCTGTGCTAGTTTTCCTACTACATCTCAAACCGCAGAAGTTATAGCCAGTGTGTGTGATAAGTATATTATGATGGAAAAGACTAGATTTCTGAGTGGAAGACATGAACAGAAACATGTTCTGATTGATGTCAGTGGGATAGGGTTTGGTACCATCTGCAGTTTCAGGCATCTATGTGGGGGCTTGGAACTTACCTCCCTTGGATAGGGAGGAACTACTACTTAGAGTACATACATCCTGAAGAAATACACTTATTTGTGGTTCATTAGATACAGTACTTAAATATACATACCCTTCTCCTCCTCCCAGATAGTAGTCTCAAGTGAAATTCAATTTATGGATTATATTTTAGGGAAACAGCACTGCCTAGCCCATTGAGTAGATTCCTCCTACTTGTAGACCCATTGGATGGATGGAAAATTTAGAATACGATTGATTGGCCTCACAGGAGTCTCTGATTTGGAATGCCACCATGAGCCACAACAAGTTAATTTTAGCCTATTCCCCTCTGTTTATTTAACTGAAGCAGTAACAAAATTCACATTTAAATATCAGAAAGTTTAAGAGTGCTTTGGGTATTGGGCATCACAGAATATAACTAATCACATTTTACTTTGAGACATTTTTACCTCACTTGTTCCTTGTTTCAGGTAAATTAATTCCACAATGGAATAGTAAGGATGGGGATAGAGTTGAGATGGAGAAACTTGTTAGAATTAGAAAACTTGATATATTGTAAGTGAAAGTACTAGGAGCCTGTTTGGAAGTGGAGGGAGTCTGTTGGAGTAGATGGAGAGGATGGATTCAAGGGATGTTGTAAAGGAAGATTTGTTAAGGAAATAGGAGGTCCTCAGACCTTGGGTTTGAACAAGAGTGGCAAGGTTCCATTTCTGGAGACTGGAAAATAAGGAAGCAAAGCCTGTTGGCTGGGGGAAGATGAGATTGATTTTATTCACTCTGGTTTTGGTGCTGACAAGACAGATGTTAGAAATGTAAGTTTTTATTTTGGTAGAGAAGTCAGAGCTTGAAATGCTAGATTTGAGTCATTCTCATTGGCTGGTAGTTGAAACTGTGGAGTAAAAAATGAGAGTAAAGCCTGTGTACAGTAAAAGGAGATATCTACATTTGGTTAGTAGATACCGTGTATAGTAAAAGGAGAAGATTGTCTACATATCTAGTTCTCTATTCAGAGAACTAGAATAGTATTATTTTATAGAAAAGAGATAATCTGTGCTAAGTTGAAAATCCTAGGATAATTATCCAAAGTAAGCTTTTATGATTTGTCTAAGTATATGCAATTATACTTGGACTATAAATATGTAAGTTGGAGGCAATGCGGTTAAGAGTGTGAACTGAAGTAAGATTCTTAGGATGTAGATCTTAGCTCCAATATTTGCTTGTTGGGGGAAGGCAAGTTACTTAACCCTTCTGTATTTCAAGGGGTTATTTTGTGGAATAAAAGAAAATAAGGCCAGGTATGGTGACTCACACCTGTAGTCCCACCACTTTGGGAGGCCGAGGCAGGCAGATTGCTTGAGTCCAGGAGTTCAAGACCAGCCTGGGCAACACGGTGAAACCTTGTCTCTACAAAAACAAAACCAAAAATTGTTTGGGTGTCGTGGTGCATGCCTATAGCCTCAGCTACTCAGTAGGCTGAGATGGGAAGATCACTTGAGCCTGAGAGGTCAAGGCTGCAGTGAGCCGAGATCACGCCACTGCACTCTAGCTTGGGTGCCAGAGTGAGAGCCTGTCCCTGCCCCCCACCCCCAACCCCGCAAAAAAAGAAAGAAAATAAGGATTTATCCTTGCTAAGTAAGTGATCAAACCATGGTAGATATATTATCTGGATAGTTTGGGTTTTCTATTGTGAGGTGGTTATTCAGATAATTTAGTTTAATTTTATAAATATCAAGAGCAAAGGTAAGATTTAGTACAGTTGTAATTGGATCCTGATGTATTATTTAATCATTATTTCCCAAACTGTGTTTCTTGGAGCATGACCCTTGAAGTATCATTTAGGGTTTATTTAGTAATGTGGTCAAGTCTGAGAAATACTATATATTCTATCCTCTTCTTTGAAATTCATAAAGCATATTATTAAGGACTGTGATTTTAAAAAAAGTTTAACTTAGCATTTTCCAAACTTGTTATTAATAGGTTATAAACTCCCCTTTATCCCATTTTATATATTAAATTTTATATATTAGAATTTTATGTATTTTAGTATTTATTTAGCTGAGGCATTTTTGAGCATTCAGTCTCATCTATTTAAAAAATTTAAATTGAAATATAATTCACATACCATCAAAACCATTCACCATTTAAAAATATTGTTTTTTAAAATATATTTACAAAGATGCGCAACTATCACCTACCTAATTACATAATATTTCATCAGCGCAAAAAGAAACCTCATACTACTTAGCAGTCACTCCTCATCTTCCCCTTCCCCAGCCCCTGGCAACCAGTAATCTACTTTCTGTCTTTATGTTTTTGCCTATTCTGGACATTTCATACACATAGAATCATGCAATATGTGACCTTTTGTGTCTGGCTTATTTGTCTTAGCAAAATGTTTTCAAGGTTCATTCATGTTGTACCCTGTTTCAGTGCTCCATTGCTTTTTAAGGCTGAATAATACTCCATTGTATGGATAATCTCCCTTGTTTGTTCCTTCATCAGTTGATGGATATTTGGGTTATTTCTACTTTTCGACTATTATGAATAATGCTCCTATGAACATTCATTTACAGGTTTTTGTGTGGATATATGTTCCCATTTCTCTTAGGTACATATTTAGAGGTGGATGGATGGTATCACTGTATTTAACTTTTGAGAAACTGCCTCAGCAATTTACAAAGCAATTGTGCCATTTTACATTTACCCCTGTAATATATGAGCATTCTGATTTCTCCTGTATGAGCATTCTGATTTCTCCACATGCTTGCCAATTTTGGTTATTTTTAGTTGAAAAACATTTTTTGTTATAGCCATCCTAGTGAATATCGAGTATCTCAATATGGTTTTAATTTACATTTCTTTAATGACTAATGATGTTGAGCATTTTTTAATGTACTTATTGGTCATTTTTACGTCTTCTTTGGAGAAATGTCTATTTAAATCCTTTGCTCATTTTAAAATTATTTGTGTTTTTATTGTATCTCATCTACTTTTCTCAAATTCCAAAAGAACATAATACAAAATTCTGCTGGTAAAGGAAGTATCTAATGTAGAAATACATAAACCATAGTACATGTTTAGTTCTCTTTTCCTGGAAGTTCTGTTTTTTTTTTTTTTTTTGAGACTGAGTCTTGCTCTGTCCAGGCCGGAGTGTAGTGGCATAATCTCGGCTCACTGCAGCCTCCACTCCTGGGTCAAGTGATTCTCCTGCCTCAGCCTCGCAAGTAGCTGGGATTACAGGCTCATACCACCATGCCCAGCTAATTTGTGT